GATATCATCCTTCTCAGGTTTTTTTTGGATTACCTAAGTTTTACAAAACTATATATATATATATATATATATATATATATATATATTTATTTATTATTAAATAAAATATACATAATATGAAAAATATATCTAAAAATTTGTCTTGATGTTTTTTTAAGATGGAAGGATCAGAAAAAAAGAACTCAATGTCTATAACAGATTTTATATATAATAAAAATATATAATATATAAAATATATAATATATAATAATATCTTTATGCATTAGACATTCATCGATTTTTCTCTTTTTTGTTTTTTTATTTATTTTGCCCACCCAAAAAATTCCTAAAATTTCTCTCTCATAAAATTTTCTTAAATCCTCCTCCTCTTGATTTTCTCTAAATTAAAAATTTTCTTTAATGATTTCCGGAAATGTTTTTTTCAAACATTTAAATTTTCAAAAACCAATTTGTAGGTCTGATGATTTGGATCATTTACCTTTCCAATGGAAAATTTGATGACCATGGAATATTAGTGTTTAAACCTTTTTATTATTATTATTATTATTAATTAAATATATATATATATATATATATATATATATATATATATATATTGGATGTTTGTTTCATTAAATAATATTTAACAAATTATGTTAAGAAATTACTTTAACTTTATTTCTTTGAAATTGTCTTCTTATCTTAATAAATTTATCATTGAAAGACGAAAAAACATTCCATACTGATACGTGTTTAAAATTTATCTAAACTTTCAGGAAATTCTTTTTCATTATCAAAGATTTGGTCTATGAAAATAATCATTTTCTCAAACAATACACGGACGAAATAATAATGAAAGTGTGTTTTTTTGCATGAAAAATTTTTTTATCAAATACTAACTTATGCATATATATATATATATATATATATATATATATATATATATTTATGTATGTGTGTGAAAAACCATTTATCTTTTAAAAAAATATATATATATATATATATATATATATATATATATATATTTAATATTTATTATATTATATCACATTATTTTTTATTCTTCATTATTTTAATATTATATTCGTTATATTGAACATATTTGGGATAAATGTATATGTGTGAGTTTTCACATTGGGTTTTATATATCATTGTATATTCGATCGGTCAAAAGTTAAATTGTTAAAATGTTCATATTTAATTAAAATTCTTTATATATATATATATATATATATATATAATATATATATATATATATACATAGATATTGTATTTTTCAATATATCGATTTCACACACCCATTTGTCTAAAAAATTAAAAATTATATTATTTTATTTTTTTTTGGAAGCAATGATTTATATGAAAATAATACGGTATCTTAAAAATTTATCTAATATTTTATGAAATCTATGTTTTAATTGTCTCTGACCAAAATTATTTTCAATTGAAAACCAAAAAAAGAAGGAGACCGTTAAAAGTTCAAATTTTAAGAATTCTATTTCGTTCGGTTTTATGATAATTATAAATTTAACTTTATTTGGGACTTAAAGCCATCCCCAATCCTATTCGGATTTTGAAAAATTTTTTTTTTTTTCTGTTTCTTTTCCCCCTTATTTTCTTTTCCTTTTGCCATTTTCCTTTCCCTATTTTTAAATAAATTTGTAAAACTTAGATTTCTAAAATATAAATTCTAAAATAAATAATTTTATTTAAATTTCAAAAGACGAAAAATTGATGTTTGCTAAATAAAAACTGTATTGCTGAATAAAAGTTTTTCAGACAACATCGTCATCTTCCCAAATCAGACTTTAAATTTTTCTATAAAGGATGAGTTTTCTAATGCAACATAGAATTTACGTTGAAGCAAAAAAAAAAAAATTTTAATTATAA